GTTTGACAGCTGCCATGGCTATGCGGCTAGTGCTGTGGGGCAAGAGGGCCCAGACACACATGCACTGGGAGTTCGGCTGGGATAGGTATTCCAAGTCCAGTAAGTGCCACGTCTCGCTAAACCCAGAGACCACGTCCTGCTGCCACTGCTCTGGAAGATAAATCACCCTCAGGGACCAGGAAGCCTTAAGCAGAAATTTGAAGAACTTCCAAAGACAGTACAAGTTTTTACTGCAAGGAATCAGGACGATATAGGAAAGAGAGCACCAGGTCTGAACCTCACCTTGACCAGTCTGAGCCTCTGTTTTCTTAATAGTCCAGGGTGGTTGGAAAAGTCATAACATATATTTTCTATGTTTTTCTATGCAAAATGACTTTTCTGACAACCCAATTTAATGAGAATAATCACATATACCTCATGGGTTAATTTATGTATTAAATGAAATGATGTGTACAAAGGGCCTGGTGCATTCTGGCACACAGGTACTCCACACGCGGTGGTTATTAAGTAACCCATACCATCTCAAAGTCTACATGTCAAGGCAAAGAGCTTAGGCCATTTAAAGTTATTTGGTTTTATAGCAGAGGGATGGTATGTACTTCAAAGGTTTCATCAAGACGTAACTTGCTTCAAGGGTGCACTGTGTTGGAAGGTTCTGAGCTACTGGACAGAAGCAATGCTCCTAGAACTGGTGACCATGAAGCAACACACCACAGAGCTACACTCAGATGAAAACAGACCAGGGGACAGAAGGATCTGATTGCCTAGGGTTGGAAAGGCTAACTGTAAGAAAATTTTTTAAATGTTAAAAATAAATAAATAAATAAAAGGCTTCATTCAGGTATAAAAATGCAAAAAAAAAAAAAAAAAATCTTGTGAAAGTTACCTAATCTCTCTGTGCCTTAATTTCATCATCTGTAAAATGGTTATGTAAGTTATTTACAAGACTGCATTAGAATATTATGTAGATATTAACATCATATTCAGAGTTTTCTCTAATAACATGGGAAACCACAACATTTTAAATGAAAAGAAAAAAGCATGATATAAAATTATACAGAAATCATCACCGCCAGGAACTGAGAAACTAAAAGAGAAACAGAAGAAACACTGAGAGAGCTAGAAAGAGAAAATGCCAGGGCCAGCAGGTGACAGAATGGTTAAGGCACTGGACTCCCACATGGCTGAACATAGTTAGAGGCCCAGTCCTGGTGGCTTGAAACCCACTCCAGGCACATTGGCCTAAGTGCCCAGAATCCCAAGAGGAGAATGAATGACAAGGGACTGTAGTGTAGCTCTCCCCCCACCCACACCCAGGGAGTGATTTCTCACTTTCTCTCTGTCTCTTTCTCTGTGTGTATGTCTCCAGTGAGTGTAGGGAGGGAGGGAGGAAGGAAGGAAGGAAATAAATGCCTGGGTAGAAATATCACCAATGCCAGCTCTTGAGTGGCATGAGCACTGTTTATCCTTTCATTTTTTATGGTTTAAAAATTCTCTATAGTGAGTGTTATTGTTTCTGTAATCATTAATGATTAACTTGCAGAAAAAGTACAACTATAAACTGAAAGTTAGAAAAACTCTAATAAGAAATAAAGTAGCCCTCCCCCATTTGCAGTTCTGCTCTCCACAGTTTTAGCTACTAGCCATCAACCAAGGTCTGAAAACAGGTAAGTATAGCACAATAAGATAGAGAGACCCAGAGGCTAAGCCACATAACTAATTATAGTATGGCTACAACTGTTCTACTTTATTATTGTTGTTAATCTCTCGCTGTGCTAATTTATCCATTAAACTTCATCATAGGCATGTATATAAAAGAAAAAAAACATAACATCCATGGGGATCAGTACTATCCATGGTTTCAGGCATCCTCTGTGAATCTGGAATGATTCCTGTATTTAAAAGTAAAAACACTCGGGGCCAGCAGGTGGCATGATGGATAAGGTGCTGAATTCCCACATGGCTGATCACAGTTCAAGTGCCAGACCTAGCAGCTTTCAAATCACGTTGGGCGTGTGTGCATGTGTGCCCAGAATTCTGGGAGGAGAACAGAGGAGAATGGTTTACAGCATGATTATCTCTCCGGGGGTGATTTTTCATTTTCCCTCCCTCTTTCTCCTGCAAGCACAGGTCCCTGATGGCAAAGTAATGAAATAAATAAGCAATCACATTCCTGCTCTAGGGCTGTTAGCACTTCCTTCCTTCCCCAACCAGCCCAGAAAGACATCAAACTGTACTTTAATGTGAAATTTTCTAATGTTTTAATGACAACTAGCTCAAGGTTTAAAAATACGATGTGCAGACCAAAAAATAAATAAGTAAATAAATAAATTCATGGTCTAAATTCAGCCCATTTGTTTTAACCTCCGCACTTCAACTAGTATAGAAAAGGAAAGAAGAAACAGAGGAGGGAGGAGAACAATTTATTCCCCCAAATAATGTATTCTCTTGGTGTCCTTTAAATAGAAAACTCTCCAGTTTAACAGAGACAAGACATGATTGAAAAAACTAGTTGAAAGTTTCTATCAATTTTAGGAATATATTCCCCACTGAAAACAAAGCATTTTTTTGAAATATGCTTTTCTAAAAAGCTGATTATTAACAGGACTACCAAATTAAAATGATGCTCCTAGCCTAACACTGACATTTATCTGCTTTTGGACTCCACTCGCTCGCTCACGGCCCTTCTCGGCCATGCTTCAGCTGGGTGCTATTGGGTGCAGTGAGAGGAAGGGGGTTTGAATATCAACCTGCAGCATCTTAGACTCCCGCAGGCCTTCCCCATGGGGAGCTTAGCTGGATCAAGTCTGTCTGCTGCACAGTCTGGGTAGTGCTGTGTTCACACAGTAGAGTTGATTTCCATTTCTCGAACTTAGGTTCCAGAAAGCCCCGATTTGAACACAGAGCCTGCCCATAGGGCCTCGGTGTTCTTTCTGTATCAGACTCAGTTCTTACCTTGGTGGCCTTCAGCTTCCACTCATATTGATTCCGTTCATTTTCCAATTCTTCCACTTTGATTTTGAGGTGCCGGAGCTCCTGCAGTAACTCCTAGAGGGACAAGCAAGAAAGACCAAGTTCTAGTGATTAAAAGATGTGCTCTGCATCTACAAGCCTGGTTAAGTTCATGCATCAAGAAGCCAGGGGCAGCAGCAACCTTGCCAAGCTCCACACTGCAGTTTTCATCTTTAAGTCTCCTCGTTTCAGGAAAAGCTGTGTGGCCATTTAAAACCAAGGCCAGGGGGCTCCAGATATAAGAAAGGAAGGAAACTTTCCTCTTATTGTGAGAATCTGTTCTCTGCCTTTACTCTGACCTCTGTGTCTTCGGAGGGGTATGCTTAGATCATGCCCGTATGTGCAGGGAGCCAGGGAGGTAAGGCTTAGGAGAAAGGGACAGAGGTCCTGAGAGCAGGCAGCTCCCTGCCCTGTGATGCAGACAAGCGAGCAGGATAACTGGGAGCATCTCTCTGTCCAGGGAGTGAAGGAACCCAGGGAGGAGGCGGGTGATCCTGGAGGGCTTCAGGAAGTGAAGAGGAAATGATAGCCAGCAGAAAGAAAACAAAACTCTTAAAGAACAAATGCTTGGAACCAGCAGTTAGCACAATGGCTATGTCACTGGACTCCCATGTAGTCGACTGTGGTTCGAGTCCCGGACCCAGTGGCTTAAACTCACACTGGGCGCACGTGCGTGCGTGCGTGCCCAAGATCCCGAGAGGAGAATGGAGAAGGGATTGCAGCGTGGCCATCCCCCCTGGAAGGTGATTTCTCGCTTTTTGTCTCTCTGTCTCTCTCTGTCTTTCTGGTAAGCACACGCGCCCTATAGCAAAAACCTCTCCCCTCCCCCCCAAAAAAGAACAAAAGTTAAATGCCAAATGTGGACGCCACTGCGGGTGTTCAGAGGAGAAGGGTGGTTTGCAGAAAGGAGGGAGAGGGAAGGTATCCAGGGTGGGAGGAGTCAAGAGAGGAGAGGAGAAGAGAAGACACCTGAGTGGCTTGTGTAGATAATGGATACAGACAGAGAGCAGGAGATGAGGTTGGGATTGGGAAGGTAAGGTGAGGCCCTACAGTAAAGGCTTTTAAATGAGAATATAAGGAGTTCTGATGCCATTCCTTGGACAACAGGGAGCTGCTAAAAGTTGTAGCATAGGGAAGAGATAATAAACAACAGAGTTCATGTAGCTAGCTGGTGGTGGAACTTGACTTCAAGCCCATATCTTCTGACTCCAGGGTCCTGTCCGTTTTTTTAATGTATAGCAAAGCAGGAAGTTTACTGAAGGAGCAGGGAGGAAAAGCAGAGCTGCAAGTGGGGAAGGGAGGGGTCCCAAAAAATGAGTTGCTAAAGAGAACTGGGGCAAGGGGTTTTTATCTGGGTCAGAGGGGACTTGTTCAGGCTTGTTCTAGGTGGAGCTCATGCATGCATTCCCCTCCTGGTGGGGAGGGGCACAGGCTAATTCTCCTAATTTTGGAGAGGGTACAAAGGTCAGGAGAGCTTTTGTCTAGAGGCTTTGGGTCATAAAACCTTGCTTTTAAAACTACCTTTGCAATGGGACATTGTCCTCTAAGTCAATACTAAGCCAAGACTAAGAAATTAAATCTTCCAAGACAGCAGTAAGCACTGTTGTTTGAACCAAGATACTCTTAACAGACAATTGACCCTACTAACTACTTTCTATAAGAACTGGCATGCAGTTATTATTTATGTATGTATACATATTATTTCTATAGGCTTTCTGACCCCCAAACTCACACAACAAGCTTCTCCACACAGAAGTTACAGAGCATCTCAGGACTGTCATACCCCAAGTGGAGCTCTTAATTCCCCCTTCAGTCACCTCTGCCTCACTGCATAGCATATCTGCCCAAGTTACTGCCTGTGCCAGAAACCTGGGATCCACCCTAGGCATTTCCTTCTCCCCTCTCCTCTGTATACGTCATTCTTCCCCAAGCCTTACTGATTGTCCTTCCAAGAAAGTCTCATTTCTCTCCAACTCTACCATCACTACTCTGATCTAGCTACTAGGGTTGGTAGCCTGGATTGTTTCTTCCTTGACTTTCTTCCCTTGTCACTTGGTGCTTCTCAAATCCATTGACTTCCACGGCATCCCAGAAGAACAATGTGATTAAAACACTAACATGAGCAGAGCATGCCCCTGCTGCTCAAAGTTGATAAACTCCAACTTGTGACCAACACAACCTGTGGTGACCCAGCTCTCTTGCCACTCTTCCTCCCCAGTTATGCTGCAGCCATAATGGGTAGCTTCTAGTTCCTCTTCCCAATTTATACCTACCATTCCCTCTGTCTGAACTGTCTGCCAGGCTCACTCCTGCCTATCCTTCAGACCTTCCTGGACAAAGCTAACCCAACCTCCACACTACACATCAGATCCCTCTGCTAGACTTTCTGTTGCACCCTATGTACCTCCCACAGGATTTGAAACTATGCACCTGGACTATGGCTAATAGCTAGTTCTACCCTATACTGTAAATGCCATGAGGCATTTGCTAATGTCTGATCATCCAGCAGTGCCTCACGTCTAGCAGGAAGCCTGCCTCCTTTGTTGGCAAATGAACACACACAACTTGAGTCACGATTTAACAGCTCTGGAGCAGTTGGTATTCTGAGATAATCCACCTCGAAGGGACATTGCTTACATCTGAATTTTTTAGAGCACTTTATTAAGATTGCCTTTATTGAGGTCGCTCAATAAAGCAGATAGCTTAGCAGTTATGTTGCTGGACTCCCACATGGTTGACCACAGTTCAAGTCCCAGAACCAGTGGCTTGAAACTCACGCCAGGTGTGTGTGTATGCATCCCCAAGATCTAGGGAGGAGAAGGGATTGTGGTGTGGCCATCCCCCCCTGGGGAGCGATTTCTCACTTTCCCTCTCTGACTCATCTCTCCCTGGTGAGTGCATGTACCCTAAGGCAACAACCTCTAAAAACAAAAATGTGCCTTTATTAAGGTAGCTGAGGTGACCATTTGCTGATGCCAATTTTTAAAAATGTCTTCCAAGCTACAATTCTTTCATCCATGATCTGTATATCATTGGACTTTATGACCTTGGTCACCTGTTTTGACTTGCAGCAGATTTAGAACCATTTTCTAAAAACATTGTTGATCCTACCTGGGAGACTTCAAGACTTGAAATTGGGGGTTCTTCTGTTGAGGCTGGTGTCCTACCCAGGCTATTCAGTTTGTCCCAAGACAATGGCAGGCCTGCTAATGGCAGAATCAGAAGTGGATACGTTCCTACTGCCTGAGGGGCTCCACCAAGAGGACACAGAGATCACACTTTCCAGGTTCTTGTCATCTCTCTGACATAGCTTCCTCTTTGATGCTATATCTTGTGTACCAGTCACAAATATTGGTATAAATGTTGTATTCCTGGGGCCAGATACAGCAGTAAAACACAATCCTCTGCAAGGCAATCTCACCTGGGAAGGTTAATGGTTTGGGTATGGAAACCTTCCTGAGCATGCTGGGCACATGATCACCCAGAATCCAGGAATGGCTGGATGGGGGAGGTGGATTCGTGGCATTAAGACCCTGTTGGGCATGCTATCTCTCTATTTCACTTAAGGAAGAAATAAACTTTTAAAAATATTAATCTTCCTTTAGAAGTCTATTTGGAGTAACCTACTCAACATGGGGCATGCTCTAACATCTTCTCGGGGCTCCCCTAATCCAAGTCTACATTTACATCTTGCCTTCCATGTTCTCCTCTTATGCTTTAACGAAGAGGGAAATCTTCCCCACCTAAACCCTCCCCCAAAGCCTGAGTCTAGGGTTTTCAACAGGCTCTGTAATGGAGTCTCGATCACCCTAACTTCCTACCTTCTGCAGTGCTAGCGGCCACTGCTCAGTCTTCCCTTTGGGCTCCCAGGTCCTATTAAGTAAGCCTTGGAGGCACACCCTCTGGGTGCATCTGCCACCCCTGAGCCTCAGCAAAGTCACAGAGGTAAACTTGTGAGACCAGATACATCCCAGAGGGTATGAAGTCACTTTAACATGCTTATGTGGGGGAATTTTTCCTGGGACTTTAGGAGATGACTTAATTGTCCACAGCAAACAGAAATTTGTGTTCTATTTTTTTCACTGGGTATAAACCTCGAAATAGGGGGTTGTTGAAAAAGTCATGACACATTTTCACATAGAAAAACAGGAAAAATATGTCATGACTTTTCCAACAACCCAATGTAACCTTGAAAGGAATCTTTCATGGTGCTATTTTTCTTCCTTATTGGAAAAAAAATAAAATGATCACATGGAAAATAAAACTTCATTTAATCTCCCAGTGCAGGAGGAGAAATCAGTATCTGAGTCACATACCAGGGGAGCAGAATCTTTTTGCACAACTCCCCATCACTCAGAACATCTGGCACTCCTCGCTCTCAGCCCTAAGGGTGATGAGCACTGCTGCCCGCCCAAGGATTGGCCTTACCTGCTCGGACCCTGCTCAGCGAGGGTCACGGAGCTCACCTCACATCCTATGAGTCCAAGCTCTGCCCAGAGGTAACAAGAAATCCATGCTAAGCCACCGCACTCTGTCCGGTTAGGAGAAACCCCACCCCTCCACCACTGAATTGCCCCACACACGCATGCTCTGATATACTTAAGTGTGGTTCCTACAGGTGACCCCTCCCAACGGGCACAGTCCTGGCTGCAGGGCTGGGGCTCTGCCACATCGTCACCAGCCGCCACCTCCTCAGGGTGGTCCCTACTGAGTAACAGGCGCTCTTGAATCTGCCTGTGGATGTCCAGCTGCAGCCTACACATCTGCTCCTGCAGCTCACTGATCACATTCAGAACCGACTGTAGGAAGGAAAGAGAGGAGAGAAAAGTGCTCGAGGTCAGTCAACTATCAGGCATCGAACTCCTGAAGAGATCAGCATGGGAGGAAGGAAGTGGCCAGAAGCTGAGCAGCAGGTGGCAGCCAGCAGTCATCGTCCACCCCGTCCGCTTTCTCCACTGGAATTGTAAAACATGGCTTTTTCCTGAGGCCTCCCCATCCATGGGCCTGTCCTGCAGTTTGAACAACCTTCCAGTAGC